AGTAGTGAAGTCTGCATCGCGACAGGACGTTTGTGATTGCCCCACAGCGGAACCTTGTGACTATCTTGAAATTTCGAAAAGCTCTCTTACGTCATATTGCACCTATCCAATGTCGATATTACTGTTTGTAAACATTCTTTTAATAGTATTCAGCTATTAGGGAATTCATTATCATTCGAATGGTTTCAAAATGGCCAAGTTATCCATTTAGCAACGTAATTGTCTTGTTCAGCTCTTTCATATCAGTTAAAGATGTCTAGACATATTTCCACAAACAACAACTATAACAACTTAACTCGTAATAAATCACTTGACTTCGCTCTTTAAGTCACATTCATCTAAATTACACGTTTACATTGTAACCCTATTATACAAATAAACCGCACTTAAACCAACCTAGTGCTTCCCGACCAATCAATATGATTCTTACATAGCTGTTTGTCTATATCCTTGCGTGTTTGTGGGACTAATACTTATAATTGTCAGTTTGGATGATATCTAAATAACCAAATATGCAATAAACAACATACAAATAGAAAAAACAAAAGTTGTCAATTACTCCCCCCTGAGAAGCATTTGTATTCGTTAGCTATGGGAGTTTAGTTCCACTGATAGTTATTATATATGTGGTATTACAACATAAACGTAAATCATTGCTGTGGACATACTTTAGTGGTAACCAAATGCTGCAAACCAGTACAATGATCTACGATATGTGATTTGTGTTAATTAAGGTCTCTGCATGTATACGTTTGTACTTCATTGACGTTTGTTTGATGTAATGGGCGTTCTAAGAGACTGCATTAGACAGTACCAAGACAATTGTGAAATGGAACTATAATTGTTATGGTTATTCTTTTAGCGCATAACAGTTTCGACGAAATATTTCGAGCCTGCTAAAGTGACGTCAGATGGCAGGGAACGAAGTGTGGCATGAAGTCTACGGTGAACCATGTACTGCATGGATCTGCACCATGGATTAGGATTTCTGTGTTTCGCAATAAGTTTCTGGCAAGATTATTGTCTAACCGCTTCCTACATTTGGAAAAAGCAAAAAAATGAAAGATTAGCATTACAATGACACAATAACAGTAACAGCAGAACTGATTAATAAATCGAGTACAAAAATAGAATATAAGTAAAAGTAAAATACATCACAGGTAACCCACAGTAAAACAATGTTAATCATTTCATTCAATGCCAAGTCGGATGAGTTTTTCAGATTTCCCAGACATGCAATTCAATTTATCTAAGTACGGTAAGTTATAACTCGTGGATTTAGAAAAAGTGCATAGAACTGAAGCTAAACATAGAAACAACTAATATATTTTATGTATCATAGAATTACTTGAACAAAGTATCGGGTTGATATTTAGCATTCACGAAGTGTCTGTTTATAGTGCGACTGTTTGCAGTTTACTTTACGTACTACGTGAAGGGTGCACGTAAACGAGTAGTTAGAAAGAACAGACTTGATTTGACTGTTTAAAATAGAATGATTTGTATTTACTGGTAATTTGTAACAGCACGATCGGAAACACCACACATCACAAAAGCAAATTATTGAAACTACTACACAAGAAGAAGCATCTAATTTGCATAATACATACTTCATCTTCATCATCATCTAACGGGCGGAGGTGTATTAACAATTTTCAAACTTTCTTGTTTTGCTGAAATTCAAGGATGGTACCTTAGTGGACATTGCCTTATACTGTCAGACTGTGAAAAATATTACCTGCGCCATGTTTTCGGTAGCGTTGATGTGTCTGTTAACAAGGTGAAGTAAGTAGAGATTTTCCTAGAATCAAAATCCAGGCAATTAGAATTAAGGATCTACATTTTACGGGTTTCTACACCACTGCTAGATAAGATCTATTCTTTGAGTAAACAAACCCATTCAAGACTCGATTACGTCTTACTTTTCAAGCGAAACTATAAGCTTGTGCCAGTATGATAAACGTATTCAATAGGACAAAGGGAATAGTGACGATAATGTAAATTGTATTTGTGGCAGAGGTTTGCGCTCTTGAAGCTACTACCTTTAAGCTTCATGCTGTTCAACTTTATGGGTTTTCTAGGCCTTTCGTACCATAGGGTGCCTTATATGTCAGTTGTCAAGGTAAGGTAACCCAAGCTGTCAAAAAACATTTTAAACATTATAACTTTAAGATTTTAAATATGTAATAATGTCTGACTTACAACATATCTGTCGAGTTTAGAGTGTTGTAATGCCAATACGATCAATTTGTGCTCACTTGTTAACAGATGTCTTTTTTTATTTGTGTGAAGCGGACTTCATACATTTTCCAGACAATCAGATATAAATGTTTGTTTGTAAATTAATTTGTTTGTTTTCTGACATACTTCGAATGTAAATATTGACTTTGGCGGGATATTGACACGCTGATGATACTTTGGCAGATGAGACTCGTCTTCAGGGGTCATTCAACAGTCTCAGTATTCTAATTCCGTTTGACCTTTATCTTTTATATCTGTTATAGGTTGATATTACTGATTATTTAATATAATATAAATAATGATATCTTCAGTAACTTTAATGGTCAGCAAAATACAATATTCATGCAAGACCGAACAAGATGGCTGGACGTGTGTACCTGGTGATGGTAGTAGTATTATGCACTGTTAATACTATACGGGGTGACGTTCTCAAAGAAGATACTGTCATGGTGTCCATTCCACAAGGTGATCTTATTGGTAGACAAAATCAAGTATCCTCGGACCTTTACGTCAATTTTTTTGGTCGCATTCCATTTGCAGCTCCGCCTTTGGGCGAGTTACGCTTCAGTGCACCCGCTCCTCCAAAGGGATGGGAGGGCCAACGAGATGCCACTTACTATGGTCCAGCTTGCACTCAGTTCGGTAGGGTATTTTACAACCATTCGCTGGAAAATATAGAGCTACCGATAGGGCTATTACCTGATCTCCCTGGCTGGTTTCCTGTGCCAGATCCGATTGAAGATATAGTAGAAAAGATTCAAAATTTAACATCCCGAATCCCACTGGACGAGATCATTGGCACGATCAGAAACATCTCAAACACTAATGTGACTTTAAGTGATATTGTAGGAGAAGATTGTCTGTATATGAATATCTACGCTCCTCAGGTCAGTGTCTTTTTATACTTTTTAAATTTAGTTTGTCATTATTTATATTAAATATGGCAATATGCAACTACATTCAATACCTATATAGCGACACCTTTCACAGTACTGATATTGATTTTACTTTCTTTATTTTAATCTAATTTGCGTCTCAAATAGCGCGTGTCGCCAATACAGGATGAAACATTTCCAGTAATGGTATATATTCAAGGTGGTGCTTTCGCCGTTGGTACATCGATGTACCTCTACGATGGGAGGATTCTGGCTGAGCGAAATAATGTTATTGTTGTTAACTTCAATTATCGTTTAGGAGCACTAGGTAATTGTAAAAGCATAGCTAACATGACAAGTGCATCAAAATAGTGTTCAGAAGAATTGTAAGCAGGTACGGGTTACGGGTTACGGTTATATCATCATACCTTCCCAATAATGCTGCTACATGGGTCTTATGTACGATAATTAGTCTTATATGTGTCATGTACAGTGATTGTAAAACCCGTTTCTTAAAGGGAATTGATTACGTTGTCCAATATTGAGAGAAATAATTATATCATAATTATATCGCAATGCTAACTGACATTATATTTAGGAAAATAATACGCTTCTTCAGTAAAAATAATGTACATTACAGAAATAGTGGAAAATAGTTTGCCTCCATGTACATGAGTGTACATGTACATGTGTGTATTTCACCTATCAGATGACATTTGTTAATGAACCTTCTTATCTTCAAGGCTTCCTTAGCACAATGGACGAAGTATCACCTGGTAACTACGGTATGCTCGATCAAGTAGCGGCTCTAGAATGGGTGAAGCACAACATTGTATATTTTGGTGGAGATCCAAGTTCTGTAACGCTTTTTGGGCAGAGCGCCGGTGGTGTTAGTGCCTCGTTGCAAATGTTATCACCATTAAGTGAAGGTAAGGTGACACTTATTCTGATAAGATAGAAGTGGTTGTGCATGTTAAGCAAGCCCGTACTGTGTACATTATTATAACAAAATACTACAAAAATATCTCTGTCTTGTCTTCGGTTTAAATCTAAGTATAAGTTATATTGTCTGAAGAAGTCAGTAGTGTGGTCCCATTATAATTAAGGATAAACATTAATTGTCCTATTTAGGTCTGTTTAACAAGGTGATAGTTGAAAGCGGCAACGCTTTAGCATCTTGGAGTGTCATCCTTCCGCCATATGACGTCACTGAAGGGACATATGGATTAGCTGATAATATTGGATGTCCACGTCGACCCCACGAAGATTTACTTGCTTGTCTCAGAACAAAGGACCCGTTTGAAATTTCAGCTGAGTCACCATCGGTTTGTAGATTAATTAAATAATAAACAGTTTCTTCCATCACACAACAATTATTTATATTTTTCTCACATTCTCTTCTGGTTTTGATTTTCTTTTTTATTAAATAGGAAGATTTGATACAATTTAACCCTTTAAATTTAACCATTTAAGTTCAGGCACACAGGAATTAAAAAAACCTTTTACATTAAGGGCTGCATCATATTCCACTATATCAGTGCGCGTCCTCGAATACGCACTCACTCTTCAGTAAGGTGGGATCGACGCATTAATTTATCACGACTATCAGATATTAGTCACGTACTTTCCTAATGCAAATATAATGAACATCTGTGACTAACTCGAGGCTAATGAGATGATGTGTGTATGCGCTCTAACAATGGAAAAGAAATTGCTTGTTGACGGCCCGGGAGGATTTCTTCCGTATGACCCACTAACGATAATGAAAAGCGGAGACTTCAAAAAAGTTCCTCTAATCATTGGATACAATAAAGATGAAATGACCTTTACAATGAGTGAGTTCAAACAAGATCAGTTGTCACTAGTCAGCGCACGTGTTTTTTAGGTTGCTTTTGAAATATTGTGAAAATGAAAAAAAAACGGACAAAATGGCGCGCCACCACAGCAATTTTTAGAACAACAAACATAGTCTGATACCCTACCCTAATTTCAACGCTGAGGGCGGTTAAGAAAAAAGTAAGTAGAGGTTGTTCTTCAATCAAAATCCAAGCGACTAGAATTTAGGAACTAAATTTCAAGATCCTAAACCACTCTCAACGTTGAAATTGGGGCAGGGGACCAGACTACAACAAACACATCTCTTTTATTTAGTCTTCTATTGAACTATTGTTTTTATCTGGACATTGCGCGATAACATTGAATAATATACATGATATTGTGAGTGAAAATTAATACTAAAAAACACTAAAAAAAGATAATGTTTTATTTCTGTCATTATAAGAAATAGAAGCCATGCTTTCACGTTGTCATTATCATGATTCACCAGCGACCCGTCCTTTTAATAACCATCTAAAAAAACAACGCTAAATTTAGATGTCTGAATTCATTTAGTTTAATCTATTTGTTTAATGATAATAGAAATCGTTTGAATTTACTTGCATGTCGGTGACCTCTTGTATTATGTGACCTCTGATATATATAAGGGATACTTACTTATGACCAAGATCTGTTTGTTGGATTAATGTAATTTTTTCCAAAATTATTCAAATGTTCTGATGTACATTCACGTTCGATGTATCTTTACTGATGACAATTGGCGAAAAAACGGACGTTGTTATGAAATTTTGTATTGCAGAAAATTAAAAATGCCACCCAGTTCGAATTGTGCGTGTGTGAAAACTATAGATATTTCATAGTTATATGTTTTCCGAAATCCACCAAAACATATCAAACTTCAGTTTTGATACAAGTGTTTGTCGGAGTTGTTGACTTAATAAAAATAACACCAAGTTCTAATGCCATCTGTGTAAAAACAGTAGTTATGTTATGGTTATCTTTTCCGAAATCTGTCTTACTGTGCAGTCTTCACCGATAGTGTATGGGAATGCGTATACACGTCTTCACAAAGCGGATAACACGACATGTTATTTCCACGCTGACACTTCTCAGACACCCCCAGAATGCTTATGGCTAGAATTGAAAAATAAACATCGAAACTCGCATGTGGACAATATAAATCAAATCGTTTGTGAGGATCAAATTAGAGAAAACCAAGCCATTGATTATATGCACCTCATTGCAAGAAATGTATAAAGACAAGACAAGTGCTGATTACAGAAATTGACTCAGAAAACATTGAAGAATACCCAAGAAGCTTCAGGAATTGTTTACGTGCAGAAATGGAATCACTACGTGGTATTGTCTGTAATGTGTTGTGTGAGCTTGTTCCAGAACTAGAAGTTTGCTAAAACAACTCCTCCCAGAAGAACGCTACAGTGAAGTAAATCACTTGGCTTATCTGTGGCAGCACCAACTAATATACTAAATACAGGTGATCACGTTCTTGACTGATGTGGCATATCTGTTTAATCGCATCTTCAAGTTACATATACCAACACCGTAAGATCTAGCAATTAACAAAAACAAAACAAATCACTAAATCTTAATACAAGTAAGGTATAAAATATATAGTACTAAAATATCTCTAAATACTACAGTTCAATTCTTCTCTATTTCACCATAGATGGCGCTATCACTGAAGGTCACAACATAACAAATAATAATCACATTAATTCAGCTTACACAAAAAACAAATCTTCAAACAATTCAAAAAGTAATTATTCCAACACAATGAATGTGGATAAACGTCGATCTTATCACAAGTTCATATAATAACCTATTAACAATGGGTAATACTATGCCAAATACATTGTTGACGAAATCGTACACATAGTATATTAATGCTTGTAAGCACAAGTCAGTATAACATCAAAGATGCTCTATGCTGGTTTCATTCCTTAACAAAAATGTTCTCTGAAGACTCAAAGTACAAATAATTCAATTGTATATTACCTCGATCACTAGAGGGCGCTATTAACACAAAAATGCCGTGAAAGTCTCAGTGCACCTCGTCAGCTACATTATCTCACCACAGTTGCTGCTCAAATACCCAAGACCCTTCCTCATTGTGTTCTAAACAAATGACCCCCCCCATGGACATGGATACCAAGATTACAAACATGAGAGTATGACAAATCATCCAACAGCTCCAAAGAATCATAATAATCAATACCATACAAAGAAGGGATAGAAGTAATTGGTGATTGAAGACAAATTTAAATACTCATACTAAGTAGCAGAACATATGCCCAAGTTCAGCTACTCTAAAAATCACATATTCACAATTTAAATACATTTTTAAATTTCATTTTGTAAACCGAAACAGACTGTGAACCTCTGACAGATTTGTTAATGTTGTGGCAATAACCTAAGTTTTTGAACTTGAATTTGTATCAATAGTGTTGTTACTATTTTCAACTTTCATCCTGAAACGGTCAGCATTTCCATTTTGACAATACTTTTACATTATGCATTTCAACAGAGGAGCTATATCAGCTGGTAGGTTGCTGGTTTATTTTAAGCTGATGTATATTACAAAACAAGTATAGTGTGCCAAGGAACATTGCCGTTATTAAATACAAGTCTAGTATTTCTACTGCAAGTGTGCGGAAATGCTCTTTAAGAAAGTTACGTCATGTGGCTCCTCTACGATGACGAGCCGCAGAGGAAAACAGCTGACAGTACCATAGTATACAGACAGTGAACTGAGCTTGGTTCAAGAAAGGCAGAGCTTGTATTGACCAGGTCGTTGTTCTAACAATTTTATTGATTCCGAATTGTCATCGACATTGGAATACCCCCTGGAAGATTGAAACTAAAATCATATGAATAATTTTGAGGCTTTTAGTGCAGTGTTATCATGAAAACAAAAGACAACAACATACACAAATCTGGAATTCAATAGACCCTCAATCTACAAAACCCAGACTTTTCTGAAGACCATGCAGCTATCTCCACAACATAACAGCATCTACAAGAAAAGACTGACAGATGTGCGTATTTGCAAAACAATCTACATTTATCGTACGCAAGATAATGCAATTGAAGACTTGATGTACACGCATGTACAATTCAATTTATTGTTCAGTTGTAACTTTTGAAAATATAAAGTTATTTGATTCAAGCAGATTATTTCGTTTTATTATTGTATTCAATGTGGCTCATTAACCATGGTTGCCACACAGTAACCACTTATTTCACATTTTGTGTGATTAGAGTATGCACGCATGTTCAGTGCCATCGGTTGTTGATGAAGTGTTTTTATTTTCTATAGAGTTTCATTCCAATGAAAATGGTATGACGAAAACTGAATTCAGGGAGTACCTCTGGAACAAGGCGACTGGCAGGGCATATTATTCTGATACCAACGTTAAATATGATTATGTGTTCAATGCTTTTGAGTTTATGTACACCCCGTGGGAGAACCCAGAAGACCCACTATTAATGAGAGATTCATGTGCCGAGGTAAAATATTATATTATTTTATATTTATTATTTATGTAGAACGCTCGGTATTATTTGTTCACAAATTACTCACTAAAAAGCTATATTTTCAAGTTGACCATGAAATAATCAATGCTGTTTTCACAAGTGTACCCGGGTGTTGCTTATATGTTAACCATCAAAGTCAAACGATACAATACATGATTTTATCTTTTGTATTTAGTTTTTAAATGATCGGGGTTTCAAAGCGCCTGCTCACTGGCAAGCAAGATTAGCGTCGCATTATGGTGTGGATACATATGTATATCAATTTGACTATCGCAGACCTTCTGCCAGATGGGACGAGTGGACAGGTCAGTAATTCAGCATGTATACATTCACACTGTAAATAGTTTATACATTTAAAACATTATATATCTCAGCATTTGCATTTATCAGGCTGCAATATTTATATATTTAACGTGTTTTTCTTTTTATATTATATATCCTTATATGTTCATACGTATATATCTTTTTATAACGAAGGTGTTCCGCATTTGGAAGATCTGTTTTTTGTATATGGTGTGCCTTATATGCCAGATAAATATCCCTGGATAAGTTGGACAGATGGAGACAGGGATGTAGTAGACACTGTACAAACACTGTGGAATAATTTTGTTAAAACTGGGTAGGTATTATTTATTAACGTGTTTCTATGTGTAACATCTTTAGTTACGATATTCTTTTTCTATTATTCAACTGTAACCAGAACAATAATGACCAAAACCTATACATTTATAGAAAGCATTTTCCTTGACATGTTTGCAAATACTTGTTTGCATAGGATGTTTTTATTTTTAAGATCACATGACTCATAAAGTATACATTAGTAATAAATGGGTAACACGATTAAACACAATACTATCCAGTTATTCTTGCTGTCGAAAAAATACGCCTTTGTGAATAATACGTCATGAAGTATAAATAATAATTTTATATTTCTAAATATACTATTCTATATTTTATCATTTCTAACTTGTGACAAGGTTATCGCGCAGCCAGTTAGAATAACAGTAAATGAATAATTCAATTTCAGTTTAACAGTGTTTTTGGCCAATTTCAGGAGACTTCTTCTTGCTTTGTTAATATTTTATCTTTAGGTGTTTGTAATTAACAAACATAGGATTCTCATTAACACGTGCTTGATCTTATAGTTATGTTTGACAATCATGAATAATAATTACTTACACAGTGTACCACGAGTAAACAAAAATGTGTTAACTTGTTATGAGAGGATGAAAATATGCATTTTCTTTCAAAAATGCCAAATTGATTTTTTTAATTGGAAAAACAAAACACAAATACCGAGTAAACCTACACCGAGTATTGTTTATGTTGTATTTAAAATTGACATAACAGATCTTCTCCCATTTATTTTTATTATCAGAAATCCCTCACCCGAAGGAGCGTATATACCAAACGTTGAAGGAACGTGGGAAAAATATACACTGGAGAATCAGAGAATGTTTCATATCAATTCTAAAAGTACGATGAAAAATGACAGCGTAAATAGCAATATGAATGCTTACTGGATGCAGTATGATCCGCAGGTTGTTAAGTCAGCCTCATATTACGACTGCTGCACTGTTCCATGCGAGGACGAAGATAATGCAATCACATCTTCAGCACATGTTCGTATTCCTGATAGAATCACGATCGCCATTGTAACCATAACGACTATTTCTTGTCTATTCATTTAATAAAATGTTCGACTCCCACTATAATGGCAGTGTACCAGTGGTTTACAGAATAATTGTTCGAACACGCAATATGCACATGCTTATTTACCAGATCAATAAAAAAGGATAATTTATTACACCATTAATGTAAACAAATTTAGTATGTTTTTATTATCATCATGTGGCAATTCCCCAGGGTAGATGGATTGTGCTCATATATATTATATGTTTCGTGAAATAATTCTCATTCATTCGCTTTCCTCACTTAGTTCACAGACAACTAACATAAGTGATCTGAGACTTGTCTGAGCGTTGTCGGTTTCCCGAACTCAAACACAGGAGAGCAAGCCCGAATTCAGTGAGACAACGTAATATCAACCTTATCTGTATGTGATACTAATAGTCTTGAAGTCCTTACCCGATGTATGTGGTGATTGTAAAATAGATCACATAACAGTTGGGTAAAACACCACATGTGACAAGCTAGTATCTTTCATACATTTATTTATTTATTTGTTAGGATTCTGTATACGATAATGCACAAATGGAATGCAATATCCGTACTCAACACAAGTGCATTATCTGACTTACCATAAGTAAGTAGATTATATTGGCCAATCACGTTCAACTAATTACGTTGGTATAAATGTTTACACGTTTTCAGTGCTTTGTTTTCACTGTTCACATTATGTTACACTCAAGATACCGCAGGTGGAAGCAGTTACACTGGATAATCATTTTTCATATTTATGACTACATTTCGAACGCGAGAAATCAATATATCGCGTAATTCCGAATAATTCCCCATGTAATTTTTTTTTCTTTCTAAATTGTGATAGGCAATTGGTGGTATTGAAATTAATTAGCCTTCCTGGTAGGAACAATTAAACACGATGCGCAGTTGGTCTATGCTATTCAAAACTAATTGCTATGCTAATCCGTCAATGATTTGAAGGGCACTGTTTGGTGAAGTTGCTAGTAAGCGTTGTTGTTGTTGTTGTTATTATTATTATTATTATATAATTGTATGCTGTAGTTTATGTTGGAACGTCATTTGCCGTATGTTCGTCCCAGGAAGACAATCCAAGGGATTGGAGAGGCTCTCCTAAACGAATGATATGATGTGAAGTCACTTGCTAGTTGCCGAAGACTTTATCGTGGGTTGTGGATCTTTTAATTATTAATCCTCGAGGCCCTGACCTGACTCGTTGCACTAATGACCAATGGAACATTTCGTGCATAATAGAACATATGATTAAGACTTGGTATTATTAATCTATAAAGCTTTGAGCTTGAGTCGCTGGGAAGATTGTTATATCTGTAACTATGACTGAATATTATTAATCCTTGAGGCTCTGACTTGAATTACTGCGTTAATGAGCAATGGGACATTTGTTACATATAGCTAATGTCATACTATAGAATACTATATTAAATGAAAGTAAACATTACTGCATGCATGCATAAACCGACGAACACCTAAGGCACTAAACTCCCCGTCACGTTTTTCGTTAGGCTTTTCATTTCAAAATGTATTTTTTGACAATTTGGATTGATTTTGGCATTTCGGTCCGTGTACTATTTCGCCTATATTGCGTATTGCGATTGGAATAATGTACAATTATTTCCTTTGTAGTTCAGTATTTTTGACAGAAGGATGTATATTGAATGCCAGTCTGGTGACCTCCGTGTATTTTTGTTTTGTTTTATTCATCGAACACGAAAAGTCCATGCTCAGCGTGTCCAGACTGGAATCAGCCTACTGATTCACCCCAAAAGCCTCATAAGTAAATAGATTTCTAACACTGTTGAAAAAGTTAAAGGGAATAGAGTTACCCAAGCTCGGAGAATGATCTATTGTGGTCTACCCATATGGTTTTTCCATTTTGTGACTAGAGTCACCTAACGAGAGTAAATGTATCTTGCTCGCCACTAAAATGGACCCAAGAATTTAGGTTTGCAAGGTAGTGCAATAGAATTAAATGATTCACATGACTTGGTTCTGCCACCAAAATTAACTTAGTTTGCGATTCTCAAATTGCATGGGCTACTGTAGTGATACGTATTGAGTTCATATTGATATGCTTCTGCCAAAATTACTATGTTATGTCAAGCACAGTGAAAAGTATTTTGGGAGCAATTGGCTATAGACACATACACTTGTGCACATGCGCAGTTAAGTTGTTCACGGTTATTATTCACAGATTTATGTGTACTGAGATTATTACTCTGGTGCCATGCTTATTGGTTACCAGCTTTCTCAAACTAACTAATGTATGCTTCTATTTTGGTGACAATACTATATTGATAGATATGCAATACATAATATCATTATACATCTATCACTGTAACGCCACAAGTTACAGCGTGCCGTAATTTTGCAGTATTTTACCATATTAGGAAATGCGAATTCCAAATATGGAACAATAGGTCAGAGATGTCAGCGAGAAGAAAATTTAGATCAAGTGCAGTGTTGTGACACATATTTTCACGTTTAGCGCGCTGTGGCAGCATGTTCTAATCCTTGACAAGTAAAACCCCGTCATTGTGAGCAGGTTTTCATTATGTGAGATGATATAAAGGTAATGTATTTCCAAAAACAGCGCCATCTTAAGTCTTCAATGAAATAAAAACAAGTAAATTCGGTAAGTACTAGTAAGTGTGTATATGACGATTCTGCATGCATATAATAGAACGCAAGCGAATTATAATTTACACTTTTCGGCTGAAAGCAAAAAATAAGCTGGCACTCATCTCATCTTTGTCTAAATCAACTGATAATATAATGTCAGCTGAATCACCGTCGTACTGGACGTGGTAAATATAGGAGTACCAAACAGCTTAATTCAGATAACGATAATGAGAAATAGCATATTTTGTACACAGGACATGCAAAATAAATCACGTCAGTCCTGCAGATTTAATCATGTCTTCCCTGGGCAAAACGCCCGTTAAAAACAAACTAGAGAAATATTCCTAGAGGTTCTGTGTTCGCAAATAATATTAATCTGAAAGGTTCGTGCGTTTTTTGCTAGTCTAGTCTAGTCATCTGCCACTTGTGAAACAACAACTTTTTTCTACTGCCATTTGTAGTTCTGGCTTATATGTAACGCGTCAATCCATTAGGTAGTATTTGAACGTGACTACCGAATTAATAATAGTATCAAATCAGAGAACGTTTTTCCCCTACGGCCATCAACATTATTTATATTACTTTTCACGAAATAAATATAGCATTAAGTAGGTAAACGGACACATTGCTATATGTTTTGACACAAGAGATCCCTCTAAATGCATCACGTTTTCAAATAAAGACTTTGAATCACAATATATTATATTCGCAATGCATCATGGTCGATGCTATATATATTTCCCTGGTTGTAAGGCACTCTTGAACTCAATGTAATTACGTAATTTAGGTTTCAAGGACGTATTTGCTTTCGAAAGCTGTTTCTGTGTGTCAGAGACAAATTCAGAAAGAAAAACGTATTTGCTACCTAGTCTGGTTATATTGAATATTCACCAATAACTACGATTACGTCACGGTACTATCATTTTCTATGTATTAAATGTTCTATGCTTGGCGGTCTCAATGCACTGATTCAAATACACTCTTTGTGATGCTATACAAGTTTAAAACCAAAGACACGAGGGACTTGTGTTTATGATCGTCAATGCATAATGAAAAATGTGTATTCCGTATGTTTAAATGTGTAAGCCTGACCAACATATTTACACGATATCACATGTCCTACATGCTGGATTGATTTTACTCTTTTATAAATTAGATTATACACTGCTTTCTATGTCGCATGAACACGAACATGTAACACGATCATAGTGGCATATGTTGTTCTCATTATTAATTGAACGCACGCGCTTTGTACGGTTCTCAAGCTAATGTGCATTGATCTTGTCTTTTCATGATTGTGGTACACGACAGTATCCTCACTACTCTTCCGTCAACATCCGCATTTCGTTTCATATACACTTTCATTTAATGATGTATGTTTTCAACATAGCCTTCAAGTAATTCACGATGTATGATTGTACGTAAATTATGCTGTCAATCTACTTGGAGACGATGTCACTTGCGTCGGAACGGATATGACTACTGATCATTGGAGTAGCGACGGAAACTCGTGGCACTCTTCAAAAGCAGTATTATTTATGTATACCTCGCGATGCATCCAGGGTCCTTTAATGGATCGAGATTGAATGTCCACCAAATGATGAATTGATATCCCAGAGGGAGGATTACTTCGCGGTATATCTCAACAACAATTGTGTATGCGTCATAAACTCGAATTTATTAGACTTTTGATAGCAACGCAATGGATATTAAAATTCGGCGATACTGTTCTTAAAATACCTCTGGTATGAATTATTATTATTATTATTAAGAATCTCTCCATCCTCAATGAGTGTTAAGGATAAATCACCAGGAGTGATAGTTGGGCACAGTTGCAATTTCCTCTTTAACGTGGCTCAGTTATGACAAAGTAGTGCATACGTTTGGTTCCAGTGAGCTCTGCAAAAGTATAGGCATTGAACGCAATGGCGCTTGAAATAACTGCTATTCCTATTAACCGAGGAGCAATCAACATCAGCGTTATTAGGCGTTAATAAAACTGGCAATAATGCTATTCTCGTGTTTTGAAGTTGTCACAGTTATCAATCGGTCAATAATTTAACTGTACGTTTGAATGCTGCGTCATGTTATACGCGTTATTGTGTTGAGGAATATACAACTTATTGGAGCTATATGGCATTTTATTCATCCATTACATTCAATCATGCATCATATTTGCAATATTAGACACCGAGCTCGCTGAAATGAATGAATCGTTGGTTTATACTAGCTATAAACAATGGGGATAAGCTGCAAACACTTGGCTACGGGATATTATGTGATAGTTACATTAAAACATCAAAGTAACCTTTGGTCATTGAGAAAACTTTCATACTGTATGACCTACGCGTTGATCGCTTTTTATATTCTATAAATCGGCATAGGATATCAATGTTTATGCAGGTTAGACACGATATGGTGTCACTGAATGCACACATACTGAGCATATCTATATTTAGCAAAATTATGTACGGTAAAAACAGAAGCCATGCTATTCAATGACGTCGATAT